AGACTCAATGGTAACAAAGATATATATTAACGTATCGGATATTGACTAACTTGTGACCTGTGTTACTATAGCCGTGTCAAACATTATATCGGTTTGGCGAAACGTCCATGACTAACAATGACACTGGAAACCCCTTAAACCTGGTAATCTAACAACACTTAGCCGTCTGTTCATCAGCGGAGACATACGTATGTGCAACGATGTCAATTTATTTCATTTTATATCAGATTGATTTTAAGTATTAAACGAGTCATTTTAGCGAGCTAACTATTAACACCAGTCTTATCACATTTCCCTGAAAAAGAAATCTCGTTTTTTCTCACGCCATTGTCAAATCGCTGACGTGTTGCCGTTATGACATCAGGTCTTTATTGTTCTTACTGTGTCGTCACTATAAATACACCAGCTGATTAAAACTGTCCTACGTGACAACGATCTGGGACTCAACAGATTACTCATGTTGAGCGTGGCGAAGAGTAAAATGAAAAGTTATTGTTTACCGGTATTTTTTTCTATGAGAGGTTTCAAAGGATGGATATTACATTTATATGCTTAAAAAAACAGAAAAAAGCATGGCCGATTTGATAAGTAATATTCTGGAAATAGCATGCATGCACCTGGTCACTCCGCCCACATCTACAAGTGTTGACGTCACAGGATATTTTCTGAGCCCTGTGCGCCATATTTTGTCAGTATCCATGACTACTGGGTCATTTCACCATAGTGACCAGTAGTTTATACTTAATACAAAGCTTTTGTGTAAAAGTAGACCAACAGGAACTATTACTTCTCGTGAGTGTCACCATAACAATGGTTATTTTAGCCACACATTATACAAATGGCAGGATAAGCCATAAAGTCGTTCTCTCATATCACGCCTGGCCAGCACCGCAACCCACAGACTTACCAATAATCCCTGTCGATAGGATTAACACTGCGGTGATAATCAAATACACCAAAACTAGCTGATGTTATAGCTAATTGAATAGCACGCGATGAAGTAGACTTTTTCCAATATCGACTCTCGTCAGAGAGCTCCGATAAGCCTCTTGGTATGATCCGACGAACTTGATGGCAGATCATGAGTTTTAAAGGTTGTCCGGAAAATCAACCATACACGATCACCTTGGTGGCTTGATGGCTTTCACATACTCTTCCGGCGTTCGTTACTGAGTCTATGATAACTGCGTTATTCGTGCCACACACAGAGTGCGTACAGATATAAGTAGCATTTGACGAGCAGACAGGGCGAGTAAACAAACCTCGTTACACAGGACCTACACAGAAGAGGCCAGTAAATCAGGACATTCTTATAATTGCTGTAAATAAAATTCATTTTGCCTGACATACATTTTCAAGTTTAAAAAATAACAATCTGATGACGTGGTAAATAGGGATATAGAAAAGTTTTCCGTTTAATTCCATATACATGTATTTTTCACGATTATTGCTTTGGGTTAACGTCCCATTAACAGCTATGTTCTTTAAAGGACGTGCAAGGATTTGGTGGTGGAGGAAAGCCGGAGTTCCCGGAGAAAAACCACCGACCCTACGGCCAGTATCTGTCGACTGCCCCACGAAGGCCTCGAACCCGCGACCCATTGGAGGGCTAGTTGTAACAGAATGTCAGACGCCTTTTCTTTTTTTTGAAAAATATTTTATTGATAAATTAAGGAAAATGATCACATGCCTAAATATATATTTATATATATATAAAAAAAAAAAGAAATGGACGTTGATTCAAACTTGCACGTCCACTTCGTCTGGTCACAATTTAACTGCGGATTTTTTTCTTCTTGAGAATGTATCAAGCATTTATAGGTCCAGCCATAGGGCCCGCGGGTTTGGGACCCCCGAGGTTCCTCATATTGCATATAACTATATTTTCAATCAATAAAAAATTATCACAGATAGTACATGCGTTTAAAATATAGATTTATCACTTGACTTAGTTTCAGACGCCTTAACCAATTTGCCACTGCGCGGCCCTTCTCAAGGTTAATGCAGAATATCGGTATTTTTTGCAATACGAGTAAAACTTCTATGGTTTTCAACGGAACAAACTCATTACATTTTCTATGTATTCAACTATTTAAAGTTACACGATGCAACTATTGCTGCATCAAAAAGGTGCGTGTATCAGTAGCGTAAAATTTGACTTCAGGTTCTGATGACGTCAGAATTTGAAAACAGGGCAGTGCGCTATTTTAAAATGGCTACTTACTCAACGTAATTCTACCGTTTTATGCTATTACATGGTTTTATAAGATTTCCAATGTAGTTACGGTATGTAATTACTATATTATATGTTGCAAAGGTCTATGAGCCCCCTCATCTCTATTTAAAACTGGCTCACTGCGGCGTATCCAGATGGCTTCCTTTATCTGCCGCGTGTAAACTTAGAAACACTTATTGGTTGTGTAACAAGAAACTTTTCATAATCCATACTTACCAACCTGAACAAAATATTTAGAAATTAATTTTAAGTTTCTCGACGCGAACATTGAACTTCAGGTTCTGATGACGTCATGATTTGAAAACAAGTTACGGTATGTAATCATTACTGTATAATATATGTTGCAAAGTTTTACCAACACAACCACTTATCCCATCGTCTCTTCATCTGGCCTCGAAAATGGAAATCTACTCAGTGAAGAGAAAATATTGTTCCGTTGTTGCGTTAAATTTAGAAGTAATTTTGGTTGTCAATTCGCAATTCTCTGTGAACCTTAACACAAACATATTTAGGTACGTGCAAAACCCAGCAAGAGATTAGAGTTCAAATTGTATTAACAATTACATATACTTGTCTTCAAATCGTATCTCCCTTTTTTATTACGTATCAGTTCAAACTTTAGAAGCGCCCGAGGAACATGTGAACGTGAGTTTTGTCATTTTTCGACTGTTAAGTACAAATGTAGTACATGTAAGATGTTAATTACCGTTTATGAAAGACATTTCAAAATACAATTAAAACCAGGCTTCTAAATACTACACTAATCCTTGTTTTAAGAAATTACGCTAGTGATTGTTTTGAAGTGAATTAATTTGGGTTTACTCTGATTGAGCAATTCACAAATTTCTTTTCTTATAATTGAACTTTGCGGAACGGTCAGAGCCGCATGACATTAATGTAGCTTAAGTCCATCCTTTAAGTCGTCATCAACTGTCGGAATATATTATTCACAATCGCCGACCTGACGACATACTGAGTTAAAACCAAATTTAAACGAATCAATGTTCATTGGTCCGATTAGGTTTAAATTGTTAATGCTTTCAGCGGTCTCCCTCTGGTTGTGTCTCACCGAGCGCCCACGGCCGGGTCAAGTTTATAAGTCATTTAACAGAGAGACAGATTAATGTATCAGCCAGTTTCCGACATTACAGTGTTCCATCTGTCAAAACCAAAGAGCATTCTGGAGCATATTCCTCACATAACTGTAGCATGTCATGGTCCATTTCCTGGAAAGCCGCCCTGTCCCCTGTTTTATAGCACGCCCCCTGGTGTCTCACATATACATGTAGCACGCCCCCTGGTGTCTCACATAAAGCACGCCCTCTGGTGTTTTCGCATGTACATGTTTCCTGAGGTGTCAGTATAAAATATCGCACATTTCTTTCATATTTAAACAACCGTATTACCATTTTACATATAATTAAATTTGATAAATGTATGCTATTAGTTATCATAGTATATTTTACGGGAAGCGTATAACTAAAATATCATCCGAAAGTTCAACAGTTTCGTTAAAAGGGATACAAAAATTGTAAACTCTATCTCATGTATCACAGTAACAAACAATCCTGTTATTCTCTGCAGGATCTGTTGAAAAATTAACCTTATATTGTAACTCACTATATGATGAAACAATGCGACTAATGAGGATGTTACCTAGACTAGTTATTTGATTGGTCTCAGTTAAAAAAAAGAAGACCGGTGGCTAGGCTCGTAGAATGCATTGTACGACGTGGTAGGACGCCGAAGGGTGGCTGGTTCGAGTCACGTCAAGGCACTGTGTTGTACCTTTGAAAACAAATCTTTACTCCGCTTGTTCACGTCTACTCAGCTTTAAATGAGTACGTGGTTGGGCAGTGCTAGAATTTGTTGAATGCTAGCTGTGAGCGCCGAAATGACAACACCGGCTGTATGCTCCCCAGGGAATTGAGAAAGATATTGGCTAGTTGCAAAGGCCCTAAAATCACGGATAATGATTTGTGAACCGATTTGAGGCGACCTACCTTACATTGTAAGAACCTCGAATTATTATTATTATCATTACTTGAATGTATTTTGATGTGGCTTGTATAGGTTTACTACTCATATTACAATACCTGAACTCGTTATCTGCTCCTTTCGCACCTCTGCTTTTAAGTGCCTTACTTATTGGCCCATCACTTATATGGTATCCGAAAGAAGACTTATTGAAATTTGGAATTTTATTCTTTAATCCAAAGTTCTAGAATAATGTACATATATACTTAATTAAATTCTTGATGAACATTTCATTATTGTTTAAAGTAGTTTGAAATAATGGAAGATTGGTCAATCTTGCTTGATTCTAATTAAGAGTGTACTCGTAAGAGATCGTGCATGAAACAGAATCCATTAAACTTAATCTTAGGTTTTAAAAAATGTGGTTAATCCATGACCGAGCTACGAGACGGATGGGGAGCAGATTCAATTAATCAATGTTACCACGTGTGTCCTGGGGAATTCAATCGCCCTGGAGTGGAAACACATTCAATATCCATTCAATTCCATTACAGAGAGCGTTACATGTACCTGTGTGTTTAAATTAAATCCTTTCCCTCAGACCTATTAACGTTCGGGAAAAGCATAGACATGTTGCACTGTTGTTCCGTGCAACGACGTGATTGTATGAGGCGACCAACGAGGGGTCCTACAGAATTTTTGGGTTTTCTCCTATGCTTTTTTTAAAGAGACACTATGATTGAGGAAACCAATAATTTTATATAATGTCGTATAAACATAAACAGACCGAGAAGGAACTCGTCGACTCATAAGGGGCCACATTAGTCGGCTCATCAGGGGCCACATTAGTCGGCTCAACAGGGGCCACATTAGTCGACTCATCAGGGGCCACATTAGTCGGCTCATCAGGGGCCACATTAGTCGACTCATCAGGGGCCACATTTGTCGCCTCATCAGGGGCCACATTTGTCGCCTCATACGATAACATTCAGTGGTATTCTGCTTGTGTAAGTGATGATATTGTTAATTTGTATATAATGTACATGTACGTATATATTACATAAATGAACATATAATACAAGCCTTGATGCTTTATGAGTTTAACACGTACATATAAGTATCTTCTTTCCAAAATAGTTTTACACTGATACATCTTTGAGATATGTTTTTTTAACTTCACGTATTAAATAAAGAACCTGTCATCAATGCATTTAATAAATCCAAGTTGCCATTCATAAAGGCAATCTCGCCTTTTCTATCCATGTAACTCTTTTAAAAGAGGGTGCAAGCCAAGTAGCGAAGCATGCATTGGAAACCCTTAAATGAACATATATCTACATGTAAATAAACTTTCACGAGATATTTAACAATTCTCTTTGATTCTGCATAATTTTATGATAAATTTCTAAAACTTTAAAACAAGATATAAGTTAAATAGTTTCAACACTGTCGTCTTAATATCGCCGCAATAAAAGTATCAGCTTTACTGAAAGAAAGTCTTCTCCGATAAAGATTCGTAGGAAAAATATACGTTGCGTACAAACACATTAAAAAATATAACTTGTAATGTATAATTGATTTAGACATAAAACAATCATCAGGTTTATTTCTCAAGCGCGCATATCAATAAAATAGTCGAAAGTCAAATAGTTGAGAAGAGAAAAAAAATCATATCTAGTCAGTTCAATATAAAATCTTTACAAAAATGTGGTATTTGAATTCGTTGCTTATTCATTCCGTGACAAAATTATCCTGTTCTGACTGAAAGATGTCATGTACACGGTCTGATTAAACTTACTTATTTTGTACAACACAATGCAAAATACTCCTTGAAGTTAGGAACAATTCAAAATGAACTGTTCAAATAATGGTTTGATGGTTCTTACCTTTGCTCAAACAAGAACATGGCAAAGTTTAAATCTGAAACATAAGACATTTGTAATATGAGGTGATCTCAGAATGGCAAACGTGTTCGACTCGAAATATTTGTTGAGTAATCGGCATTTACTCTAATGCATTATGCTCGCTCGTAAGTAATGAAGTCCAATATCATCACGTGCACCTGTATCAAATAGACAGTGCTAGAAAGGTGCATCAGGGGCCTGTTCGTTTATGCGGACCAACCGGTTCGTCTGTTTTTGAATGGTACATGTTTTGGTAAAAAAAACTGGCGGACCTGCAAACTTTATGCAGGTCTTGCAAGGTTCGCCTGAAAACAAGGTCCGACCTTATTTCTTAAACTAACGACTCTGGTCCAATCGGCTCAACAGTTTGGATCGCGGTAAACGAAAGCGGCCCTGGTACATGTCGTAAAGAACCATAACCCATTATGAAGTGATGGTTCTTAACTTTGAACATCGACGAGAGTAGAATAAACGATTTAAGCTCAAACGTCATCCCGGACAAAAAGTAGAACGAGATGCCAGGTCTCCACATTATAGATCAGAGCCTAGAATAATTGTACGTATATTTACAGAGCATTTTGCAATCTCCGCTATGTTCCACACACACGTCAAGATAAGGACTATCAAACTGAAATTAAAACGTATCAGTTGATGGCTATAACACATGTTTAAATGAATAACATAATCAGCAATATCTAGAATTCACGGCCGGATTTGTCAACACACACACAATCCATCAAGATAAAGACAAATAAACACAAATATATTTTGAAAAATAATGGTTCTGATCATTGTGTATCAGACGTCTTATACATGTAACAGTCTTTTAGTCCCCCTCAATAAACATCAACTAGCTATACATAAATGAACGTACGTACATCAAAAATTTAAGAACTCTGCAATAACATTCTAACGTTTTTGTTATGAGGTAATGGTTCTTATCTTTGCACACACAATATACGTTTGCGACGGTATATATTTGTAGAGTAATCTGCAATGCCTTCCCGTCAACCAGTGTAAGTACACGTACTCGATCTTACAGCGATTTGACACTATACGTAATCCGTGTTACGTAATACGACATCGATTTGCAATCTATCCTGACCACGTTTTTTTCCGTTGAAGAGGGAGATAGCCACGCGGAATGTTGGACCCCAGTGAAGTCGTTTTTCAATCCGTGTCCTCCACATTACAGTCAGTGAAAAAAACTAAAATCGTGTAGACATGGCACCGAAGTTCTTTTTGTTATACAGCTACATCCTGTATACTTGTTCTGTCTCCATGATACTGACGCAATCTGTCCAGCCAATGTTTGGCATTGTGAACGTGTTTAGCGATATCTTCAAGGACACCGCAAAAGAGATATATTTTAATTAGTTAGTAGTGAGCGAGGTGAGAGACGTGCAAAATTGTGACAAAAAGCCAAAATAATATATAAAAACAGAAACGTGTATTAAATCAATACGTGCTGTCCTTTAAGTGCTCCTAATTATTTATCAAACAAAGGGATGGGTGTTAATCATATTCAGGTTTCACTACAGTACACCACCTTCCTCCAAGCCAAACGATTACGATACATTCTAGACGAAACGAAGGCTTGGTCTGGTTTTATTTTGTTTGACGTCCTATTACATGTAACATCTAGAGTCATTCAAGGATGTGCCTCCATGCGTGTTGTGCAAGCGTGCGAGGGTGTATGCATGCTGGAGACGAGGTATGTTGTTATACTTGCCTCCTTGCAATAGCACGGATCTGATGCCGACTTTATAGTGCTAGCTCACTGAAACACCATGCCGAAGGGTGCAAGCACATCATTCCGCCCGGTCACATTATACTGACAACAGGTGAACAATTATTGCCATTACCCTGAATACTGAGCGTTAAGCAGGGAATTACAACTACCATTTTTGAGGACTTTGGTATGTCCCGGCCTGGGGACAGAACCCATTGCCATCCTCACCTGGGCGAACGCTGAACATTAAAGCCAGAAGTGAGGTATTGCCAAGCTAGGCGCTCGGAAATAAAAATTACTTAAGAGTAGAAAATATATAAAGATTCCAAATGTTGCAATGGGTGCAGCAGATTTGTTTCGGTCGCTTTTGTGTCCCCAAATAGAGGACACCAAAGCAAATCCCCAATTCTGCAGGGGTTCCCACATTAGTTGCATCTTACTATACATGCGGTGAACAACAGCAGGAGTATTCTTTTTTCGCTCCCCGACCTTAAGGGTGACGAAACAAAGAAATTTCAGAAAAAACTGCATTGTTTATATACCAGGAGAAAATTAGGAGAACGACAGCCCAATAGAAAAGGACAAAAGCAGGAAGAGGTGAAGAGGAAAGAGGCTGGGGACGAGTACACGTTTTTCTGCATATGACCATGACATGTATAATGAAAATATTGTATCTTGTTTCATATAAATGTTGGGGTCCATCAGTTTATAAAATCTACCGACAGGATCAGCATTTGTCTGCTCAGGGTGTGCATGTGTTTTTATAGAATTAATGCGTTAGTTCCTTTAAAGTAACAGCCTCGAATTTTTCGGTCGCAATGATGCTAGGATGATAAATCTTGTATTAGACTGTGTAATAATTAGAGGTTATTTTATGACCATCTTGATATCATATTCCTTATCAGCCCGAGAGTCCCGATATCAGCCCGAGGGCTGATAAGGGATATGACATCAAAATGGTCATATTATAAACTTTTTATCATATGTTCAAGTAACAAAAAATCAAGTCAACAAGAAAAAACAATTAGATAATTTAATCAACAATGTCAACTGAAACAGATTATTACAAGATGATATTCAGTCAATTCTGAATAAATATCGTTTCAAACCGCTGCTGTCAGTAAGTATTAGTCCTACTACTATAGTATCCATTTCAGATGAAACGCCCTGATTTATTCACTATCCGAGTCCGTTATGACATTCACTCTCCTTTTCTTTAAAGGAGTAGGCCCAGGGTTAAAATTGATTTTTGACATTTTGTTTGTTGACATCTGCTCAACACACTGTCTAAGCAAAAAAAACCTGACAGCGCAAATCCGTATTTTACTCGGAACGCTTCGGGTGCTTTCCATATCGAATACAGAAGTAGAGGTGTCCCGAACTGGGGGTGCATTACGAGAATTGTTATCGCATGGGTGGGGGG